GCACCCAGCCGCCCTGCTGCTGGCGCTGGCGCTGGGCGCCTGGGTCCTGAGCGCCTGGGTGCTGGCCGCCTGCGAGAGGTGAGGGCCTGGGGCACTGTGGGATAGCGGAGGGGGTCTGGGCCCTCCGACAGGCTACGAGAGTGGGGGCCCCAGAGCATGATGGGAAGGATGGGGTGCCAGCCCTTGGGCACTGTGGGATAGTGGAGGGGGTTGGGCTCTGTGGCCTGCAGAGCATGATGGGAGGACAGGGAGCCAGCCCTGGGGCATTGTGGGATAGTGGAGGGGTCAGAGCCCTGAGTTAGGCTGGGAGAGCGGGGCACCCCAGAGCATGATGGGAGAGCAGGCCTCACAGCATTGTGGGATAGAAGAGGCTGGGAGGGAAGGGGGCTGCATACCAGCGCAGTCTGGATGAGCAGAGGGGTGGGGGGGCATTGTGGGATAGTGGGGGAACGGCCCACGTGGCATGCTGGGATACTGGGAGCCTTGTGGCAGTGCAGGGCCCCTAGGGCATGCTGGGATAGCAAGGTACCAAACCCTGGGGCACTGGGATAGTGGGAGGGTCTGGGCCCCGGGGAATGGCAGGACTGTAGGGACAAGGCCCCAAGGGATTGTGGGACGGGGGCTGGGGCAGTTGAGGGAGTCTCTGACACTGCCCTTGCTGCAGGGGTGTCCCAGGGGGCGCCGGAGGCCTGGGGGCGACACTGTGGCTGGTGCCCATCACGTTCCTGACGATTGGCTACGGCGACCTTGTGCCCGGCACTATCTGTGGCCGTCTCGTCTGCCTGGTGGCTGGCATCCTGGTGAGACCCCCGGTGCCCCTCACGCCCGACCCGCAGCCCCAGCCACCCCGCTGCCCCTTACTCCCACCCTGCAGCCCCCAGCTGACCTCCCCTCCACCTCCCCGCAGGGCGTGGGGTGCACGGCGCTGCTCGTGGCGGTGGCAGCCGAGAAGCTGGAGTTCACGCGGGCGGAGAAGCACGTCCACAACTTCATGCTGGGCGTGGAGTGTGCCCGGAAGGTGGGCACCCAGGCGTCCGGGCTCCCTCCCCCCCCTCCCCCACCCCACCCAGACCTGGAGGGGACCAAGGCCCCCCGGGCTGTCCCAGCCTGGGACAAGGGAGACTGAGCAAACTCAGCTCTTTGCAGCCCCTTCAGCCAGGTGCATTATGGGAAGGTGGCAGTGGACCCCCCCCAAAGCATTATGGGAAGGCCAAGGCTTGGGCAGGGGAGAGTGTCCCCAGTGGCCCAGGCATTGTGGGAAGGTGGTAATAGGGTGACCATTGCCCTAGGGCATCGGGGGAAAATCAAGGGCGGGGGAGGTTCTGGCTCTCCCAGGGCATTGTGGGAAGGTGGAGGACTAACCCCCCCAGCCCTGACTTGCTTCCCCGCCCACCATAGATGAAGCACACGGCAGCCACCGG